CGGTGGAGCCACTGCCGCGGGCTCCGAACTGCCAGTACTGAGGGAAGGGCGGCGTGAGCCTGGATCGCCGAGCTCTGCCGCAGCCTTGTCCCTGAGCGCGAGCTGCAGCCGCGGTGCAGGGCTGGGCAAACCCGGCATCAGCCCCTGTCCTACCGTTCTTACGGGCTTGTAGCTGGCATGGCTGACGGGGCTTTGTGCGCTGGGTGTTTTGCAGAAAAGCAGAAGAATACCTGCGGCTATCCCAGGTGAAATGCACGCGATTGATGGCTCAGATGACAGCTGCAAGCAGTGCTGTGATGTGCCTGGACCTAGCAGCTAGCTTCATGAAACAGCCAGTTGACAAAGTAAGCTGCAGTGTGTGATTTGTCTGGCTGGTGCATTCTCTGTAAGTGCACTGAAATTACTGTTCTGTGTAGCGTGTGCTGGGAGCAGGAAAGGGGTAGTAGTAATAACTGACATTATGCTAGACCCAGTAGTGTGCTGGAGCTTTCACTACTCAAGAGTTTGAAACAGAGCAAAATGAGCCCAGTGTTGTAGTCACTTCACAAGCTGAGCTTCGTTTGCTATAATTTCAGCTTTTTTGGCTGACTAAATCAACAGCAGGGGTGTTAAATTTAGGATCTGTCCCTTTTACAGTGGAAGGGAAGCAGTGGCTGTAAGGAATCAATCTCTGTAGTGGTACCTGTAAACCTCCATGTACAGACCTGCAGGTAGATGGTAATGAACTGCCAAAATAATGTCTGGTACAAATTGTTTGTGACAGTCCAGTCCCAGGCAGAGGAGAATTTAATTGAAGCTGACCCATGAGGAGTAACATGAAAGTATTGTGCATCTCTTCAAGTTGTCCAGATCTTGGTTACCTTTGTTTTTAACCAAATAAAAGGTTTGATAAAGGGCCATGCTGTAATATGTGGAAAAGACAAACCTTACTTCCAGGGAAACAGTCTAAAAATACCACTGCATTAAGAGATGAGGCATTCCTAGGTGGTTAATCTTTCTGTGTACAGTCAAACTTGCATCATTCATTGCACAAAGTTGTTTAATGTAGCAATTGAACTTTATTTTATGGTAGTGTGTATTTCTCCCTAATCTATTTTGGTCGTCTCAATAAGATGTTGGGAGGAATCTTGCTGATTCTTGTGGTTTGCTTTCTTGAAAGAGCTGTTTTGTTAAACTCTCTGGCTTGAACAAGACTACCTACCAGAGCTCCATGAAGTCCTTGGAGTGTTTGCTAGAGGTGAACCCCAGACTGAGAATGCGAGACTTGGCTGTGCAGTTCTGCTGCACAGAGGCATTGAACACTGCTTCAAAAATACTCCAGAGGTGAGGAAGCTCTGGTGAGCACACTGGTAACCACTAGTAAAATTCTTTGTTCATTGAATGTGTAAAGAGCTTGATAGTTGGAAGGGCCAGGTATCTCCCACTGGTGGGTGGTGAGGTGACTTCTTAGTACTGACAGTCTAGCCGTTTATCTAGACCACTTTTTAGAATGCATGTTAGACAGACTTAGTATGTGAATCTCAGCAAGTCATTGTCTGAGTGAGTCCCAGTTCTTCAGTTGGGAATAGTGTAAACTGCTGGTCATGTCACAGTTGAGAAGTAATGCTTAGTAGAAACAAATCTTCCCTTCTGGAGAAGCAGATGTCTCAAAATGCACATCAGTGGACCTGTAAAAACAATAGGTTGAACACATCAGCAGAGATCCAATAGATTTAACTAAAATTTTTTGCTCTGTAATATGTACCTTAACAAGAGTTAAAGTTAACTGAGGAGCTCTGGTCTGGAGTGCTGTCATCCTGATAGCATGTGTTTAAATGCTGTTAAGCCAGTGAACAAAGGCTGGGTATGTCTGTCAGTGCTTAATACAAGCTAAACTAATATATAGCCTGAAGACAGGTGGACAGTAAAAAATTACATTCCTCAGTGCTGCACATTCACTTCGTCCTTTTCCATATTTCCTTATTTAAGCCTTCATATACACATATGTGTAATACACATATTAGAGGAATCAAAGAAACTGTAATTCTATCCTCTATTACAAGATGGATTAATGCAAAGCAGCTCATTGTAACTTTCAGATGTAATGCAGAAGTAGAGATCGTGTGTAGATGGGGAGCACAAGAATTAGATTTTACTGGCATGCCTTGATCCAGATCCCTAATTTAAAACACCCTTAATTCAAAAAGAGGAGGTGATCCCAATCCCCTTCTTTTCCCTCATGTCTTTTGCTCTTCTCAGCCAGTAGTGGCTGTTTCTGCTTCACTGTCTTGCAAAGGACTAAGTGTTCCAACAGGAGACCTGTTCAACTGCTGAGTACCACATACAAATTAATGTCAACAGCTTCATTTGAGGCAAATGCACTATACAGTTATCACTCTTATTTTCGTTCTTTAGGTATGAATCCAGCCTCTCTGAAGCACAGAAAAAGGACCTGGATTTCTCAAAACCACTCTTTATAACAGCTGCACTATTCATTGCATGCAGGTGAGTAGAGCTTGAGGGATCTTTATGGGCTTAAATGCTTAGTGAGATACCAAATAGAAATAGCACTTAAAATGTAAGCAGCTGATTCATTCAGTATATCTGAAGGGTCTTGCTTAGTCCATCCTCCTGGAAATGGAAACAGCTGTAGCAAACTAGGCCTTTATTTACAGTGGAGTCTCCAACCTACACTGTATTTGCCTTTGGGAGAAAGCAGAAGTAATTGATGCTGTGATAATTCCATTAGCACATATCCATGGCAGTGGCTGAAAAACTTGTGCTAGTGTTTAGCACTTCACTCTCCTTCCTCTCAGCCTAACCAGCATAACATGATCACTTAGTAATATTTTTCAGATTTAGTGGTGTCATGGTTTAAGCCCAGCCAGTAACTCAGCACCATGCAGCTGCTTACTCACTGCCCCTCTTCCCTCCAGCTCCCAGCAGGGTGGTGAGGAGAATGGTAAGAATGTAAACCCCACAGGTTGAGATAAGAACAGTCCAAAAACTCAAGTATAATAAAAACTACTACTACTACCACTAATCATAATGATAAGGGAAATAACAAGGGGAGAGAATATTAAACTAAAAGGGGAAAAGAAAAAGAAAACAATAAACACAAGTGATGCACAATACAATTGCTCACCACCTGCCAACCCAAGCAGTGATCTGGGCCTTCTGGGTGACTCCCCCCAGTTTCTATACTGGGCATGATGTGCTGTAGTACGGAATACCCTTTTGGCTAGTTTGGGTCAGGTGTCCTGTCTCTGCTTCCTCCTAGCTTCTTGTGCCCCTCCTTACTGACAGAGCATGAGAGACTGAAATGTCCTTGATCGGAGTAAGCCCTACTGAGCAATAACTAATCATTGGTGTGTTGTCAGCAGTGTTCTCAGATTGAATCCCAAACACAGCACTGCACCCGATACTAAAGAGAAAAATATCTGAACCCAGGACAAGTGGGATTTTTTTTTCCATTGTCAGGATAGATTTTGAGCTGGGCACAAAACAAAAGATTGCACAGCTTTTGGTGAGATGCTGCTTAAGGTGCAAGGGTAACAGCTAGCTTACTGCTGAGCACCAAGAAAAAGGAAAAGAAAGAGCCGTTAGCCCCACACCATCACACCCTGAGGGTGCTCTAACCTTTTGAGATACGGATGCAATAGCTGTAGGCCTGTATCAGCTTGGAAGATATGTGTCAGGAGCACCTAACTCAGCCAACCCTTTGTAAAAGTTTTCTTGCATGCAAATGTCTTCCCTCTTCAGTATTACACCTTGTAAGAGTCTTACGAAGCAATTCAGGTGCTGTTAGTTGCACAGCTCCTGACAAATATTCTTGTGATATAGGGGTCCCATTCAGCTTTTTGCAGTAGTAGGATTTTATTCAGGTTCCTTCAAAACCTGAGAAGTACCTTTTCCTAATAGAATTTCCTTATGTAACCTGAACTAACCCTGACTCTCAATTCTTAAGTTGTATTGATGGCGTCCTGGAGGGGTCTTTTTTTAAGCAAACTTGAGACAGACAAGGATTAGATAGGACAAAAAGATCAGGCCCATCTTCCTCATTCTCACAGGCAGTGTTGGTATGATAAATGTCTCCTCACCTGAATAATAGTTCCTGGAGTTACAAATTTCTCTTGTAGGTGTTTGAAGCTAAAAGTGGACAAAACTAAAATGTTGGCTGTATCTGGGGTGAAAAAAGCAATATTTGGCCGGCTTTGCAATCAGCTGGAGAAGATGAGCCAGGAACTCTGCAGTAAGTTTTCAGCTTTACCCCTGTAATACAGCCCTTTCTCTAATTTCCACTGCTAATTTTATTCTGATCACCTATCTGTCCCCTGCCAGCCAAACCTGCCCAGCCATTCCAACGTTTCCCACAGTCCCAGTCACAGTCATAGCTTCTGGGGATGTCGCAACAGCTTAGCATGTGACAAGGCCAGAAATAAGTATTTTCCTCTGTTACCAAATTTTCACTGCTCCCTATGTCCTCTGCTGCTGCAATTTATCTCTCTGCTTCTCCCATACTACCTGACCTTCTTAGATTCCTCCTTCTTGCTTGCTTTCTGCATCCTGTTAACATGGCAACATGGCACACAAATTAACGTAATCATCTTGCTACCTCCTTTGCTTTGACTGACTCACTTCTGTGTTTTCCTTCCCGCACTGCAGGATTAACAAGCCTAAGCCTTTCCTGGTAGTAATTCCTCCATTACCGGTCACCATCCGTTCTCACCGTTTGAACCTGCAGCTCTCTCCACTCCTTTTTGTGGAGGGGGAAGATAGATTGAAATACGATACACATCTTCCTGTGCTTGAATCTGCTCCTTCCTACTTGCCTCCTTTTTCCTTTCCCAGGCTTTCATTCTTACTCTTCCATAGATAGTGGGCCTGCTTCACCCTGTCTTCATGCTTCATACTGTGAAGTCTTCTAGAATGCTGCCTGAAGCTAAACCAAAAGCTGCTGCTCTCTTCCTAGGCATGGACCTTTCCATAGTGCAGTACCCTATAGAAACTCCAAAACCTTACTCCACCACTGAAGCAGCTAACGACAGCTGGGCATTTGTATGTCAATTCAGGGAAGATGCATGGACAGCCCCTGCATGTTGTGGGCATCTGTAATACAAAGTGTGGAAATAGGATAGGAGGAGAAGAAATAACTAATAATCCTGCTTGAACAATGAAAGGTAGTAACGTGGGTTTGGGGTTCAAGCATAGTGGATCACTGTGATTACAAATGCAGCAGAAATACTAATTAAAGCAGCCAACCAGTCTGTGCAACCCTTGAAATGTGTAGGTGCCTCTGCATGTACAGCTTGAGCATCCATCTGGACCAGGGAATGCTCTGAATGGGAGACAGTACTTTTGGAGGGTGGCCCTGCTGTCAAAGCATTCCATCCTTGGGGCTCCGAACACCATTCAAGCAACTTCATTGTTTTTTCAGAAGAAGATGTTCCAGTGGTTGCAGAGACACCCGAAAGCTTTCAGACCAACCTGAAGCACTGCGAGAAAGAAGATGGTAAGTTGTGTTCAGCTGTGAACTAAAACTCATCTCACCAGCACAGTTCTGAGCTGTACTGCTGCTTAGTAATTTAGTTGTGCAATATGCCATAATACTCAGTTCATGGCAGCTTACTCCATTCTGCAAACCACTGGCTCATGAAAGGACAAAGAGAAGCAGCAGCAAGACTATGGTGTTTATGCTGAGTGGTCCTAGCAGAATTCAGGACAACTATTCCATTCAGACACAAAGGTGAAGAGGTGACTGTTCTGGCAGGTGAGGAGCAGCAGACCATGGGATCGCATAACACAGTGACAGACCCTGTGCTTGTGTCTGTACATTTGCTCACTGCCGTGGTTATTCCGAGCAACATACGTATTTTCCATGGTGGCCTGTCATGGACTTTTTCCTTCTCTTGTAGGATCTGAGGATGATGAGGAGGTGCCGTGTAAACGGCCAAAGACTGAAACAAAGCAAGACTATGAAGAATGGAAAAAGGAAATCCTGGAAAACGCTGCGAAGGCACGAGAGACAAGCAGGAGTACTGTCTGTAGCACCACCTAGAAATGTATCTTCTGCTTGCTTAGAATTTTAACTCTCCCTCTGCTCTAACAAGAGACCCTGTAGCATATGAGTGATGGCTGTTTGGTAGCCAGCTTATTTATTAGATAGTTTTTAAGTATGTAAGAATGTTACTTTTAGTAAATGACACCAGAATTGAGGCGTTCTTACAAGGAACCTGTCTGACCACTTGCCAGGCTGGTACCTGAGCAGCTATGGCATTGGGTGGTAGAACAGCTTCATTCTTCTGCTGCAAGCTGGTAACATTCTAATGCTGTGTTAAGTGTCAGTTCTAAGTTATATGCACCTGGGCCCCTGGCTGGAGGTAGTGGACTAAAAAAAAAGAGGGAGTGGACTAAGTAAGTGCCTTGTTAAACTGCAAAACCAGCAGAGGAATTAAGACTGATGAGGTTTTATTATTTTTTGTACTGTTGAAGAAACATTGTTCATGCAGTAAATTTGATTTATTTTTATGACCTGTATGGGACTGAAGTCTCTTGTGCTTGTATGGGGTCCCAAATATTCCAAGAAACAATAAAAACAGTAGAAGGAAAAGGTTTGTATTATGGCATCAGGTTCTTGGCACTTGTCATGTATAAAACTCAAAATAAAAGACAGATAGCTGCCTTCACTTTAAAGCTGCATATATGCAAGGGACAAGGATCTTGTGTGGGCAATACAGTTTTTTTGCATCTAGCAGTCATAAACTTAGGGAAGAGGCAAGTGCCCTGTGCTGTAGTCCTTAGAGGCAATTTCTGTGGTCCTACACATTCCTCCCAGCTACTCAAAATGCAGTTTTGAAGGAAAATCATTACTTTTAGCAGTACAGTTATGCCAGCAGGCTGGCATAACTATAATGAAACTAATCAAAATCTTCAGCTCATTTCTCTTGCCTTGTTGTTCAAAACAATCCAGAAAACCCAAGTGTCCATATGAAACAAGAGAAATATCTCATGTCTGATCATTTAGGTTTGAAATGCTGCCCCACCTAGCTTCTTCTCAGCAGTATTTTAATGGCTTGCCAAAGGCCTTGCTGGTGTGCATCCTCCTGCTTACCTGGGTGACACCGCACCAGCATTACAGTGATTGATGCCATTAACTGCTTTAGATAGGTATTAGTGTATGGGCCAATGTTTTCTAACAGTTACTGTTCCAGTGACTCACAGGTCACCTGTTGTTTGTCCTTTTAGCTTTTTGTAGACCCCAAAACAAAATGCATAGGACGTCGTAAAACATACCGTAAGGCTGCAGAGGTGGGTTCCCCTGTACTGCAGAACCATGGGATGGCTGCCAAATCTAATGGGATTTCTATTAGAAACAAAATAGCAATCCTGCTGGCCAGATGCACCTTTGTTTTGTAGAAAATAGAGAAGAAATACATACAAGACTGCAAAGAGCATCTGTGTGTTACTCTCTTAGAAAGGAAGGAAAAAGCATATAGTAATTGGAAAATTAAAACTTACTGACCATTCTCCATTCTCTTCTCCTAAAACATGAAAAAGGAGATCACTTGAAGTCAGTTTTAACTAGCAAGAGCTAATTTCATTCCAGAGAAGAGTTATGAAATGTAACAGTAACTGTGTGGGAATAGACTCCAAACTAATGCTTGATGTGCAGAGAAAATACTGGATAATTAACCCACACCAAGTAAGAGCTGTAACAAAATGGCTGGTGTTGACAGGCTGATGTAGTATGTAGCAGAGGGTCCTCAGGATGGGAGAAAATCCAGCCTACTACCATCAGCATTCTGCTGTTAAGATATTCTCAAGAGATGTTTTGGGGGTTTTTTGGTGGGAGGGATTAAACCAAAACTAAGGAATAGGCTTGTTCCACCTTAATGGCATTTAATAGTACTAATTCAGAAATATACAAACTAATTAATTTAATCCCATTTAGCATGCAGAACCACTGTGGGAGGAAAACATGAACAAAAGTGGGCCTTCACAGAAGGTGATACACTGTCAAGATTGTTTCAGTTGATTTGAGTAATTCTCTCTCTCAATTCTGGAAATGCTGAAGTCCAGAATTCAGGACTTTGCAAAGTGAGAAGCACTAGAGTGGAAAAGATAACTACAGTAGGGTAAGCCAGTCTTAAAACATCTTTGTTAGCAACCAGTACTTTTGCTAATTCAAGGAACATGCAAGTCCATAAAGTTAAAGGGAATTTTACAGTGGTTTGCTGCCTTTGCTGGAAAACTAGTTTTAGTACTATAGTTTCTGGTTTTGGTAGGGAGTCTGTCCAGCTCACACAGTGTTTTTGCAGAATCTAGAACAGGAATAAAGGAAACCAGAGGCTTAATAAACAATGTTATACTTTTAGCTGAGAGATTGCAAGTGGCTCCAGCTCTTTATACATCAGGAAAAGGTTTAAAATACAAAAGAAGTTAGTATCTTGAAGAAAATATTTAATGTTCAGGAGCAACGTGGGGGGGAGAAAGGGCTTCAACCTCCTAACTGGGCTGAAGGCAGAGTTCAGCAACACACCATGTTCCTGGCACTGAATAGCAATAAAACCTGTTTTGTGCATCATACTCTATCAAATTCTCAGACTTCAGAACTAATGGCTGCAGTTGAAGGCACTTACAAGTTTTAAACACATATAAAGGATGTCTGGAGTCCCTTCTTTCCCGGACAACATGAGATCTTTCTGCATAGACCCAGGGGTCATTAGATGTGATTTGTGGCAGTTTCACCTATCTCCTTCCAAAAGTTCAATCCATCCCGCTCAACTCAACCCACCATAAGAAACAGCAGCAATGGCCAACTGTTTTACTTAATTTGCTTCAAACCAGGATTCCTCCTATTTCCTAACTATGGAATTATAGGATATGACTATTTTTTTAAAAAGAGCAGAATAAAAAAAGCCAACAAGCCCAAATCATTCAACTCTGTGTAGTTGCACTGAATCATCATCATGTTCTGGGGAAAAAATAATCTTTTTGAAAAAATTACAGAAGAAAAGGATACCTGATATATTTTGTTCTAAGTAACAAAGAACAGGGGAAAAAATGTGCCACTGTTGTGGCAGTGCTCTTCAATCATGAAGAAAGTCTTCAGAGATCCCATGTTCACTGTGAGAAACCAGAAGCCTGACAAGGTGTTTTACGGTATGCACATCCCAACAACACTGCAGAATCAAAGCCTTCAGCAAGAAGTCAGCCCCAGTAACAGCCACATTTTTCCATCACTACATACAACTAAAAACTTGTAAAAACAAAACAAGGTAACTTCTGCTTTTAGAAATAATTTCAGTACTTTTTCCTCAAGGCATTTCTGGAAGCTCTGCATACACACACAACATGTGAAGACAGACCCAAATCCTTATTTTAGAAAACAAAGGGGTAGAAATTACTGAAGATACTGAGTTCTTCTTCCATGATTTCATGTCATGTCTTCCATGGCTCTGAGAGTAGTAGATGCTTCCCGCAAGTTTACGCAAGCTTGACAGACATAGTTTGAAATCTCTTCAGCCTGTTAGCAGCAGCCACTACATAAAAATGTTTCTGTGAACAGAACAGAACAGTCCAAATGTGAGTACAGCTGAGGTAAAGGACCTTTTCTATGGCTGACAGGTTTTTCTCCTTGATAAATTAATTTACCTCTAGCGACTTACACCTTGTGTGGATTGCAGTGCAGAACAGCTTTGTACTGGGAGACCACCACTGCAGAACAAGACTGATGGAACCATGAACTTCTGCAGCATTATTACAAATTGTATAGTGATAGGTCTTTAGATTATGCATTTTTTAAAACACAAGTGCAGAAGTCTGCAACCAAACAGCTGGGCTGCAGGAGTGGAAAAAGTGTAAGCCTCTGGTTTAGCTCCTTGGGAAAGAACTACAACTCTCCAGTGACAAAAGGAAATGGTCCTCACTGAGTTTTCCTCACATTTCCACAGGCTTCTTTGTACCAAGATCACTATGTCCATCTTTCAGGATCCATTACCTACAATCCAATAGAGACTCCCCTAAAAATTCTTATCAGTTCCTCATATAACATTTAGTTCTGAAGGAGCATGAGGTATCAGGTAGGTCCTGAAGAGTTCTCTGGATGGGTTTAAGCCTAACTTTTCTCTCTCCCACACTTCTACTCACTGCAACGAGAGACGAAACTGCCTTATGTTGTGTCCCTCCTCCATAGTGACAACAGAACAATGGAACTATTGTCAATGGAAAAAATGTCTTCAAGATGAAGTGAAAGAACATTTAAAGCTAAGTAGTATCTGAAGACTCTGAACTTGCAAAGTGTAAAACTTTTAAACACCAATTAGAGTAAAAATTGAAACCAAACTTGCTAAAAATAGAATCAGAATAACTGTGCAGGTGAAAACCCCTTGATTTATCAGAGAAAATATATGTTCCAAACTCACATTTACAAGAAAGAAGCCTGTGGACAACAGTAAGCCACCATACAAAAAAAGAACAGAATGGCTCTGCCTGTGTTGAGCTGATTTTACCTCTGGAAGTAGATTTACCAGAGTTTGTCTATTTACCTTCCATTTTCTGTGAGCCATGTAACTCTGCAGCAACAACTGGGACTTTAGGCGAAGCTTGAACTTCTTGGCTTTGGCAGGTAGGTTGTTCAACCACTCGTGTTTCAGACACTGCGTTGCACTCATCCGGCAGCTGCGGAAGAGGAAATCTGCCATGTAAACCCAGCTGCCTTGACTGCCATTCTCAGTGCTCTGTGCTCCTCAGCATTACTAATAAAGAAACTGCCTTAAATGGACCAAAAGAAGTGAGTGGCAATTCCTGCACTCTCCAGTTCAAGGGGTGAGTGGTGTGAAAAGCCTGCAGTGGGTTGACTGAGCTGTGGTTAAATGCTGGATTTTGCCTTTTTAGGGTTTGGGTGTGTTTGTTCTTCTCATGTCTGAAAAAATGCCTTTGTCATCTCCTGCTGGCAATATAGAATCATAGAGTCATAAAATGGTTTGGGTTGAAGGGACCTTAAGATCATCCAGTTCCAACCCCCTGACATGGGCAGGGACACCTCCATGTCACTCAAGACTCGATCCAACCTGGCCTTGAACACTGCCAGAGATGGAGCATTTACCACTTCTCTGGGCAACCTGTGCCAGCACCTCACCACCCTCACAGGGAAGAACTTTCTTACATCCAACTTGAATTACCCTGCTGACGTTCAGTTTATGCGTCACATATGACTTATCGTTCAAATGTAATTACTACTGGAACTGATTTTTCTGATGTAGATAATGATCTGGCAGTTGCTAGTATTCTAAGCACTCCTTTGAATTCCCCTCGAACACACAATCTGTTTTACTGTAGACCTCATTTCCTGGCTTAGTTTTGTATCACTATCAGCAAGAGAAAAATATCTCTGCTCACTCACCCAACCCCATAGCCACAGTTTGACATCAATGTCATCCTCACTCTGCCCTGTTATTTCATGTGTTCGATCACTTTTTATTTCAGTGGAGCCAAGACTGAGAAGCCACATGCAGAGTTAAGTGCCAAATGCTCCTTAATATCCACCAAATGCATGTTCTCTTTAGACGAGAACAATGTGCATTTTTGCAGCTGCAGCTTCCATTTATCCTCCATGGCACTCCAGAGACATTTTTGCAATTTGTGTCAGGCTTGTGAGAATCCAAAGCAACAGTAGAAACAGTTTTTGGTCAGAGAAGGAATACTAAAGACAGGCTTCTACACAGAAAATCCTCCCAGATTTCCTCTGATGTGCCTGTATTGATGCTGTTGTGAAAAGCAACTTTCTTCAGTCAAGGTACATAGACATTTTCCTTTTAAATAGGGGCTTTTGAATCAGTGAGGAACTGCTCACCAAGCACAGGTACAGCATGAAAAGTGTCAGGTAGTGATTTATCATTGTTGCAGGCAATCCACACAGTTGGCTAGAAGAAATTTAATATCATCTATAATGATATCAAAAAAATCATCCATAATAATATCAAAAAAGTATCATTTGCTACTATCCTCGCAATCAGACAAAGAAGTACCTTTTCTCCTTCATGAGTAGTCTGGAAATAAAGTCTTTCGCTTCCTCCGATAGTTGTTCAAATGCTTCTGCATCAAAATCCCAGCTGCAATTGAGTACATAATTCATTGTCTCTGCATCAGTTTCTCCTAAGAATGGGGACAGGCCACTAAGCCTTAAAAAAAGAAAGAAGGGGAGGAAGATCAGTAGTTATGAAATGCAAGATGTGTTTTTCTTTCTGCCAATCCTCTGCTTTACAACTGTTGTTAGCTTATGGACAGGAAAAGACTCTCAGCTATGGGGTGTTCCACCCAGTCCCTACCAAGACAAGCCATCAGTTTGGAACAGTAAAGCACTGTAAATGTTAGTGTTGCTCTAGCAGTTCACTCAGGGCGCATTACTTACAGAGAGAGCCCAAAGGAAATTAATTCAGTGGGGATCTACAGGTACATACATCAGTGCCTTCCCAGCTAGGACGGCTAGGGGGACTCAAGAGCTTTCCTGAATCAACGCCCATTTCCTTATGTGGCTTGAATTAAACGCAATTCTAACCAATCGCATACTTCTTTCAATTAGCCTCTAAGCCCGAATTTATTGCTTTAGTCGTTTGTTACTTCATTCAGTTGAGTTTTAGGTCACACGAAAATTTAAACCAGAAATGCGTCCAGTTTACAGAAAGCATCTGTGAAAGATTCTGGGATGCAAAGTCAGCTTGTCAGAAGGCAGACACTTTGGACAGACAAGCTGTCCATGGCCACCACTCAGATGCCAAAGAAAAGTTTTAGCCCTGTTTGTGATATGACATTTTTAGACCCACAGCCTAACACTCAACACTAATTCCTCTGTGCAGATGCACACTAAGTCCAAGCTACTAAAGTGATGAGATTGCAAATTTGAAAATAATCCATGTCCTCAAGAACTCCATCAAAAATGAAAACTCTGACATGCTTGGGGCAACTTCTCTGAGTAAAAAGAGACCTGATCCATTTTACCATACTGAGTAAGGTAGTGAGAAGAACATTTACACATTTATCAAAATGATTATTTGTTGTTCAGAGATTTAGTATGCACAGCGAGGTGCCTTTGCATTAAGGGTTGTGGTTTTAATAGAATGAGTTAGGAGGTGTCACAGGCAGACAGGCACAGGGGCAGCCCCACTCTCCCTCGGCAAAGCCCCACCCCTCCTTGGCAGAGCCCTGAGGGTTACTCACAACATGTAGGTGATGACACCGACACTCCACATGTCTGTTGGGAAAGAAACAAAGTCATAGTTCACCACTTCAGGAGCCAAGAACTCTGGAGTTCCAAAATTAACCTTCAGTTTCTCACGAGGTTTGTACCTTTACCACAAAGAGAGAAAAATCAGTGCTGGCAGCAGGCTAGGAAACACATCTCACCTGTAAAAAATCAAGGGCTTTTGGCCATGCAAGCACAGCAGAGCAATCACAGCAGACTCCACAGGCAATCAGGATAACATTACAGTCTTTAAAGAATAAACTGGTGACTTCAGGTGAATATACCATCAGCTATACCCTTTGCCAGAGCAAAGCCAGAAGGAAGATCACGGGCAGTAAAGGCTTCAAAGGCCTGCCCACAGAGTGCTGGCAGCTTCACTCTCTGCCAGGCTCCACAGGACCCTTTCCAGCAGGTACTGTCCGACATAAACCAAATCAAGCAGCTTCCGTTGAAACAGGTTTGGAAAGCATTTGTTTAGTGGGATGTACCCATCTACAGCTCGGGGTAAAGGCCTGTATGACAGATGTGAGCACAACATAACCACTGAGGTGAGACTCTGAAGAGGGTTACTTGGGCTTGATAACAAGTTTAACAGTGATGCTATACAGGGAGAAAATGATTCTATCCTATTGCTTAAAAGGGAAAGATTATAAAACTGAACAGCATTGACTGTAGCTGATGGTACCTGGAGTTACATCTGTGTACAGACAGAACAAACCATTAAAGCATTGCTTTTACATCTTTCTTTCCTGGAAGATCTGGTTTTCAAAACTGCTTTAGTAGAAGTTTGTATCTTTACCTTCCCAATTAAAAAAAACCCACAAAACCAAAACAAAACAAAAAACCACCCTCAATGTGTCCATTTGTTTTTAGAAAATACTTCTAAAGAAGTCCTTGAACAGATACATGCACACACATTGGTACATATATACATGAATGTACCAGATTTGGGATTAAGAAAAGCCTCGAAGAGTTTAGAAAAGAAACTGAGAAATGCTGTTGTTCTTACTGTTTTACTAACAGGCGTCCTTCCTTTTTATTTTAAAGGAATTGGCTCATGCTTTGACAGCTTTCTTTTAACACACTCATGTGAGCAAAGAAAAAGAATGGAGAAAAATCTATATTTCTCTGAGAGTTTCACATGGATGGCTCAAACATAATTGAAGGAAAAAAGATAAAAAGCAACTTGTCTGTTTAGAGTTCAGCAGAAAATTTCCACAACTAGAACTTTCACAGTAAAACTCAGCAGTCAAGAAGTCAAAGAGCCTGTCTGGAGTCCCTGGAGGAAAAGCTTTACATGGGGAATCATTTTCAGATAATTAGAACAGCAGTATAACTTTATCCAACAGAAACGTTATTTGAAAAAGTAATTAGATAATTAATGCACACAGTGGAAAACTCATGCCCACAGCAACATACCGGTAAGTTCATTCACACAGCAGAATTACGTTAGAGCCACTAAAATGCATAAAGCCCCCCTAAGAACTACCAAAATCACATCAAAGGTTTGCGGGGTTGCTTTGGTTTTGTTGGGTTTTTTTGGTGTAGGTTTGTTTGGGTTTTTTTTATAAATTCATAACTGAACTCTCTTACCTCCTTGCTAATCCAAAATCAATAATTTTAATCTGGTTTCCTGTGTGATTTACACATAATATATTTTCTGGCTACAAAAAGAGAAGAGGGTACTTTGAGTTAAATGTCTAACTGTTTGAGAGATCTAGCAAAACAGTATAAACATGTCAGATTGCAATGGTACTTCTTAATATAATACTTTTCTTTCTATTCATATCATGGGAGAGAAGGATTTGACTGTACAGAGTTAGTGACAGGTTTGGGTTTCAGCCTCCCATAAAGAAGTTTAACTTCTATTCCTGTATAACAATATTCCATAGATGACAAAGATTTTAAAATGGAAAGGCCCTTCTGTGTAAAATGGTAGAGTCAGTCAGACTGTTGAGGCTTACCCACTGGATTTACTCCTTAAGTATAAGAGTAACTCCATAAAAAGCTTCATGAAACATGTCAAATGCATCCTTTGGTTTTCCCATGAAGACAAAAACTTGTTTTTTAACAATGAGAATATTTTTCAAGGTGGGGGTGGGGGACAACAGTGTCCAAACTTATTACAACTGCAGCGCTGTCTACAGGCTAACCAGGTCTGATACCATTGTGTAAGGCGCTATATAAACAAGCAGGAAAAAAATCAGTTCGTATTTCTGTTTAAAAAGGCCAGTTATAAAGAGGCCGTTAGGAAAACACACTCATTTCACTGCAGTTCAGTTCCAGGCAGTAAAAAGTACAATAGGAATATGATATCTGAACACAGCTACAAGGGGGTAGGGGGAAGTGGAGGGAAGAACGAAGGCATTCCTAGCCAAAAAGGATTTGAGGTGTAGGTTTTTTTATTAATGCCTAAACAGCATTGTTTAATTCCACACAGAATTAAAAGCTTCTGCTTTGAGAGAGGCAAAAGCACAGAATCCTGTTCTTTTCACTATTCTCAGCAAGCTACTAAATAGACATTAAAAAAAAGCAATGAATCTCTAAAGCTCCATTTATTGTGGCTGTTGAATTAAGTAAGTCTACTCCTTTATGACATAGTCCACAGATTGAGAGATTACTCTTGTAATTAGAGACCCTGTGCTGGTCCAAGCCATAGCATCGCTAAAGAGCACAGAGTATGAACTACTGACCTTCAGATCCAAATGGAGAATATAATGCTGGTGCAGATAATGCACTCCTTCACAAATCTGCTTGGTAAATAGGATTGCATCCAACTCAGTCAGATTGTAGTTTTCATCTGTGATCCGGTCAAATAATTCACCACCATCAAGACTACAATTTTGACACAGAAAAGTGTTAAAACCCTGAAATTCCTCATTACCTCAATTTATTTCCAAGCTGGGAACTTAGGTGCCCTAATTTAGCAAGGGTCCTACCAGCACATCCAGTATAAAGCACATCAGTAGTCTCAATGACTTCAAGAGAAATATTTCGGAGTGTGAAATTAAGTATCAATATAAATTAAAAATGAAAAGTTGTTGCTAATATCTGGGGGTGATATATGTCAAACCCAAACCCAGATGACCTGGTGATCTGATGGGGACCTGAAAAACCTATTGGAAGTTCCAAAATATCTATTATTTGCTCATTTTAGTAGTCTAGAAAAAATAAGTCTTCAATTTATAAAATTTACTAAATGAAACTGAGAATTAAGCTTAACTTAAATGAAAAGTGAACCATAGTGGAACTCTGTTCATTAACAATCTTGTCATTTAGGTCATACTTTTGAGGATAGTTGCCTTTCTTACCATTTGTCATAATCTTGCAATCTTGCCAAATAATTTTTAACCTGAAGAAGTTACTTTTAAAACATGTTTTTGGTTTGTTCTTTTTTCCTTCTGAAAGTGAATTCAACTCTCCAGCTGGGATACTACTCGAGTCTTCCTCACACCTCAGAATCATCATTCCCTATTTATTTCCTTTAGTGTCCTGAAAAAACCCAGACATCTAACAATTCCTGAGATCGTTTAAACTTACTATTCCATGATCAAGGTGATACTATTTTTGGCTTCAAAAGCATCATAAAGCTGGATCAGATTCATATGATTTATTTGGTTCATGATGTTAATTTCATTTTTTACTTCCTCCTGAAAAAATAACAAATTAGCAAAAAATGAGCAAAATAACGCCCCTTAGTGAGCAAAATAGTCAAATACAATCATTTGTAAACCCAATGACAGCTATACCACAGGTCTCCTGTGGACAGATGTTTTAATCACAAACACAGGAGATGACAGTCATATAAAGCCCAAGCTTCTACTTAGTAAGACAGATTTTACAGTATTCGATACTACCCAATGCTGATTGAGGGAAATGGTGTTAAGGTGCTTGCAACAAGGCAGGTTTAGAGTGTGCTCACTTGAGTTCACAGAAGCTCAGTTACCTTCTCTCTTGCTCCTTTCACTTTTATGATTTTGGCTGCCAGGTTCAGCCCAGTTGATATCTCTGTGCACTTGTGAACTTGCCCAAACCGCCCACTGTGGATATGAAGGAGAAGATGGGAAACTGCTTAACACGGCTCAACAGAAACCTTGCATGCAACTAGTCCTATCGTCCATTAAAAATAGCACAGTACAAACTGAATGGCATCAGGTGGCCAGCAGCATGAATCTCCTTTTTCTCTCAGCTTATGAAGGATTAGTTTTATCTTTCCAGCCAGTTGTTCAGTGCTTACATTAAAATATTATGCCCCTTTCGTATTCCCACATTTCGCCCTGGTATGATGACCTGACGATATTCTTTTTTTGTTCTGTAACTGTACCCACTTCCTGTCCTTCAGTGATGCATTTGTGGGTATATTAACACGGGTATTTCTATCCTCACCTGATAACTTTTCAAATTATTTTAAGACCAGTAACTGTAGCCACTCCACAGACTGCATCTCTTATGCACTGTAAATTCTCCCCCATGCCACCCAGACACTTTAATGCCCCTGGGGATGATTTCTAAATGTTATCTTCTCTGCTATGGCATCATATTGCTTATATTATTAAACTCTATTCATACTTGGATCGACCTGTAAATTAAACTTTGTCAGGTAAGTAAGGATACAAGAACGCAAAGGCTGAAGCAGCTGCAAACTTCTCATCAGTGAAAATTAAACATAAGGTCAAAATAATAACTGTTCCCTTAGTTTTCTTTAATGTGTAGTTCAATTTGGAATCTGTCTGATTTCAGATGCTTTGAGTGTGTTTGCCTGAAGGGTACAGGTTTTCTTCCTGACACCAGCTATGGCCAGGATCGTTGTGACAAATGCAAAACCAGTCATCCCAGATCACTGTTAGGGATCTGAAAAAGGACCTGAGGCAGAAACCAGTCACCTAAGGGACACCACACACACACTCCCCAGAAACTACAAAAGGTTGATACAAGGAACCCAGCAACTGTGATGGCCCTAAAGGTCTCAAGGACGAACCTGCTTGTTTTGGCTGCAGTGACCCTGTGTCACCCAGACACCTTGGGCCCGTTTGAAGAAGAAAGGTCTAGCTCTCCAGCTCATTGCATTTCTCCGTGCCTTAGCTACCAACAGCAGTGCAGCATTAGGAACAGGGATACTTACCCCCCTAGTACTTCGTGCCGACACACCGAGTAGCATGTTGTCACCTCTGTTTGCTTGACACTCACCATGCGATGTTCAAAAGGAGCCGGAGGAGAAGGACTGTCATCTAAAGAGGAGACAAGCTGATCATTGAGATGTATTTGCACACATCACTGCACTCGATTCCATCTTCCTCACACCACTGATTTCTATCCACGACACACACATCACCTTGCTGTGTTTGCTAAATGTAATAAGAATTCTTAACTGCTTTCTGTGCTCCAAGTATCCACAGCTCTACAAAACTATACTCTTGTGCTCCTCCTACCCTTGGCATCACTGTTCCTGAAGGGATGAGCCCCGTTTCTCAGCCTGGCATCACTGATGAAGCCCACAGTGCTACTGCGAGGCTCTAAGAGAGCAACTCCGGCACCGACACGAACACAGACAAAGCAGCCTGCCACTGCTGCCGATAACGCTGCCAATGCAAACACTCAAAACACAAACTTTATACTCAAATGCACTGCCCTCTCCCACCTTTTCTTTTTGCTTTGTGTTCTCTAGCATGCTATCATTTCTACTTGAATTCAGAAAAGCACTGAATTATCTGGATAACATTAAGCATGTGATTCCTTCACTATTTTTAAAATAGCATGCAAGTAGAATAACCATTGCATTTGCAGAGAGTCGTAAAAAGGGAGGTGCTGAAAAGAGTCAAAACAACCGTTGTTCCTTCAAGTGAGGGACTTTTACTGCTAAGACCCTTTTCCAGATGAGGAATAAAGTGCCAGAGGATGGGAACCCACCTCCTGAATCTCAACCCTGCTTTTATATCACAGAAGCTAGATCAGTTAACCGTGATGTACTTAATGTCCAAGTTTTTCTAGGGTGAAGCTTCCATAAACACACAGTTGGTGTCTCCCATTCAAAAGAATTTTACAATTAACCTCCAGATATCTTGGTCTGCAATTTAACACATACTCAACTAATCTCCAGTCAGTGCTGAGAAAGCCAGATCCAAGTCAGGATATCTATGCATGTAAGTACATTCTGAGACATATTTATGCTGCCAGGAGAGAGTACTCCCTGAAACTACACAGCTGAGTGTTCACATTAACTGAGATCTACAGCCAATAACACAGCAAAGACTACAGCAAGATACTCCTCTTGCAATATTTTGCTGCTCTCTGGATCTCCAGTCCATAGTTGCTAAAGCATACCTGGTTTGCATATTCTATCTTAAGGAATAAACGCTTTAATCTAAAGAAAATAGATTTTTTCAAATGGCTCATACTTCTGGTCGCATGTACATTTCACCCAATTTTATCTTAATGGAACTTCTTTTTTTCAAAAAAAACCCAAACACTTTAAAAGGAAAACTACTGTTAAAAGCATTTGTACAAAAGTTAATTCAGTTATTTACATAGTCAAAGATACCCATAGCAAAATGTTCTTGAAATGTAATACACAGGTGGTCTGCTGAGCATTGCTCCAGCTATTATTGTATATGTAACACAAGAGTAGCACTAAATCCTCAGTGTAGAAGTTTCTGAGAGTTAACTGTGAGTACCTTACCAATGATTGTTTCGTCCTGAGTGGGCAGCTCTTTGATGGCTTCCAGTATCTCAGTCTTCTCTGGTGTCATTCCTGCACACTTGGATTCTCTCTTCTCAACATTGGCATCTGTTCGGGATTCTGCTTTTGCTGTTTCTTGATAGATTTTCCCTCCTATCCCCAGATCCTTCATAGGCTCCTTTGCAGAGGTATTCTGTGAGGTCACGGGCTTGCATTTTAATTCTGATTTCTCTTCAGCCTTTTTACCTGATTTGGGCTTGCTCAGTAATGGCTGTTGCTTCCCATTTTGAGGTGCAGGTTCATTTTGCTTATTGACCACTGCCACTTCTTGATTTGGATCAGCACTAATGTTTTTAGGACTCTGTTGAAATTTTACTTTGTCAGGCAGCTCTTTGACTCCTTCCACTTCTGCTGGTGTAGAGGGTGGGGATTTTACTTGGGGATCATTTAAGTTTCCTTCCTTGATCTTCTCAATCTTTTCTTTCATTTCAGTCATATGTACATTGATGGATATCCTGCAGAGCAAACACCTGACATTTTACAAGGATGACTAGCCTTGCTTTTGCAACTTGGGGGGGTGAATGGGGGTGAGGGAGGGGAAGAAAAATGTGTAAGCTCCCAAAATCACAGATTTCTACAGCATTAAAAAAAAACAACCTTAACTGTACCAATCCTTTTAGGAAATACAACACTAAGGGAAAAGCATCATAAAGTATGCTGGTGTTTTTTCTATATCCCCATCTGTGTGTATGTCTGCCTTCTGCTG